ACTGCCACAAGCATTGTGTGCGTGTGGGAGGGACCCTCCTCTGAATCATTCGTTCATGTAAATAGCAGACTGCCTGAATTGGAAATAAGGTTGCTCAAGATCACCCCCTGGCGGCCTTCCAGCTCAGAAAGCTGGCAGAGCACCAGGGCAGCTTCCTTACTGGTTAGAGCCACTCAGCACCCCTTTCTGTCCACCTGAGAGCCATGAGCGTGTAGGCTGGAGTGCTTCTCAGCTCTCCTATAGAATCTAAAAATGATTTGAAGGTCTCTGAACAGCCAAACTGATTTCCAAGGGGTAGCTCTCTTGTGTTCTACTTTCTTAATAATGTAGGATTTCAAGATTGAATAAAATCTGACTTTGAGGAAACCAAGATACTGAGGAATGACTTGGTCAAATGTGCTTGGCAAAGTTGGAAGCGTTGCATTCCTGGCACACTATACACTATTATTTATTTATTTTTTAGAATTTATTTATTTTCTGTGCCAGTGTTAGAGATGGAGCCTAGGGTTTCATGCATTGAGCTAAGCACTCTACCGGTGAGCTGCTTCCCCAACAGAATTATACTATTCTAGATAGAATGGAAAGAAGGCAACTTTGGAAATTACCTACTGAAAGCCTCTGACACAGTTCCTGGCTCATTAATGTCTTCATTCAATAGAGCGGAGTGGGACCCTCAGTATGTGTCACATAAAGCAGTAAGTGCTAGGGATTTGAGAGAGAGGGGAAAAGCCTCTTGGAGTTTACCGCCTGGTGGAGAATACAGAGAACTTGAGGGTACAAGCGCTTGTTAATTACAGACTTTTATTGCAGTCATGGAACAAACTGAATCGAGTTCAAGGATGTAGGGAAGGAGAAAGGCACTCTCTTTTATCTCATGTGAGATAATCGAGGATGTAGCTGAGGTTCAGTGTAGGGTGGAATGAATGTTCCAGATTCTAGCAACTGAGTGCAGAAGGTATGTTATGGGAAAGGGAGAGTGTGTCACCATGTGACCAAGCTGGATACCCATTTTCCCAGGTGGATTCACCACTACATGTAATCTTAAAGAAGATGAGAAACAGGCAGGCTCAGGTCTTTCAGGCCTTGGGCACTCAGTATAGAGTAGATGAAATGATTATGATATCTGAACATCAATTTTCAATTACAAAAGAGAAATACTACCAATGGTGTCAGGGGTTTGGCATCATTAATGGAGAAGTTGCTTAATGCTCCACATGGAACTGGGCTCAAGTTGAGAGTCCGTATATAAAGTCTTCCTACCCTTCTTTGTGTTTTGCGGGTTCATTTCCCATCAGCCACTTCCTCAGTTGAATCAGTCCATGAGAAAGTGTGTAGAGGTGTGAATAGAGTCAATGAAAAAACAGTAGGAGTTTTGGCCAATGGGGTAAGGGAGTGACACTGTAGCAGGAGAAGAGGCCAGTATGCTCAAAAACATGTTTGCTGGGAAGTGGTGCATGAAAAAGGTGGGTGTCATGGTCGGCTTCCTTTGTGAACTTGACACACCTGGGAAGAGGGAACTACAACTGGGGAATTTTCTCCATTCAGCTGGCATGTGATGTGTTCTTAATTGATAATTGATGTGAGAGGGCCCAGCCCACTGTGACAGTACCACTCCTGGACAGGAAGGTGGTCCTGGGTTGCATCAGAAAGCCGGCTGAGCACAGGCCACGGGAAGCAAGTCAGTAAGCAGCATTCCTCCACGGTACCTGCTTCAGTTCATGCCCCGATTTTTCTCAGTAAACTACTGTGTAAGTCAACTAAATACACCCTTTCCTACCCAAGTTGGTTTTGATCAGAGTATTTTATCAGAGCAATAGAAAGTAGGACAGTAGGGGCTGGAATTGTGAAGAGAGTACCATGTGACCTGTCTGTTGTTGGGGGAACCCTTTGAGTACTGAAATTTGTGAAGACAGTTTGTTCATAAGAAAGCTGTGCTCTTCTCCAGCCTAATCAAGTCTTGACATTTGAATTTTGAGCTAATTTTGGGGAAATAACTTTTCAGATTCTCATCATATAGTACTTGTTCAATATGAATAGAAATAATTACTTTGCCAAGTGATTAGCATGCCTAAGAATAAGTATAGACTTTTCTCCAGTTTTTCAACTTTCAGATAAATGTCAAATATCTTCCGTAAAGTGCATTTAATTTCTTTTTTCTTTAAGAAATATTAACAAGTGAAGGTTCAGAGCAGAGCAGAACAATGGTGGGAAAAGCCAAGCTGATCTGGGGAGGGGATGTTCTCAGTGTTGATTTTCGTTCCAAAAGGGACTCAGGGAGTATTAAATAAGAAACAAAGGGCAACAACAAGAAAGGTAGCTGAGCAGTCTCCTCTTTTCAGCAGGCTCCACTGACAATCTTATTAATAAACTGATTAGGAAAAGTAAACACAGGATGAAACATGTAACAGAGGTGGGAGAGAAAAAGGTTTGTACCATGGCTAGTACCAAGCTGAACTGGTAGCACTTTCCCAAAGCACCCCCACCCCATCTCCACCAGACAGTTCTTGGGAGTGTGCCTCTTAAAGATGTGATTTATGGTTTTGGGTTCTTAGTTTTGGGATTTGTTTTGTTTTGTTTTGAGATAAAGTCTCCCTGTAGCCCCAGCTGGCCTGGAATTTACTATGTAGATGAGGGCAGCCTCAAATTCACAGAGATCCACCTGGGTCTGCTTCTGGAGTGCTGGGAAGAAGGTGTGTGCCACCTTCCCAACCTTGATTTGTGTTTTAATTGTTCTTTGAATGATGTAATTGAAAGCCTACTGGAAACAGCTACTTCTATGAAAGGGTCATCATGTTTATCAAAATAAAAGGGAAAGTCTCAGAGCCCTTCCCCAGATCTAGCATGACTTTCCCTTGCTTATTTTAGGCCTATCTTTTGGGAAAGATGTGGTCAACTATGTAAATCAAATGGTATAAAATAAACAGGAGCCTCATTAGCAAATCATTCTCTTGAATATAATACAAGTCCCCAGTCTCTATGTAAGGAGCTCCAGGGAAGGTTTACTTCTTTGCATTTTGAGGATTACACATAAAATCTTGGTGTTTTTTCCAGTTCTAATTCACACCTCATTGAACACTTTAATGGCCTATACTAAAATTTGTAAACAGTCTTAAGATACAGGACTGCTGATTGTATTTATTCACCTTTAAAGTTCTTTAGTTATTGATGTCTTTGCAACATAGTTGCTTCTTACTGAGAGATTATAACACCTAAAGATTTATTAATGCAGTTATTGTTTAGAAGTGAGCAGCAAAGACTTTCCTGACTACTTGGAGAGAAAAGCTCCAGGTGGAGAAAACTGGGGGTGTGACTCTGGAAAATCGTTTGACGTTTTTCTGGACGGATACAGCAATGAATCTTATTTCAACTCTAAATTTAACCATATTTTACGATTGTATTGGTCTATATTCTGTTTCTACAAAAAATCAAAAAACAAAAAACAAACCTATAGTTGGGTACTTTAAAAGAAGAGATTTATTTAGTTCGCCTATTTGGAGGGTCCAAAGTCCCACATTAGGCATCAGGCAGCTCCATCTGTCTGACATCTGATGAAACCTTTTGGAAGATGACATTACAACACAGGGAGCACGTGTGGAACAACTCAAAGGGTGGGAGAGGAAGCTGAGGAAATTCAGAAGCCAGGCATGTTATTATTTCCATTTTGATAGCTCACTGTTGTAGAAACAAACCACAGTCCCATCGAGCCTTTCTGAGGGCATTATCCCAGTGACCTAACCCATCTTACACTAGACCCCAGTCTTTAAGTTTCTATTCCCTCAATTCTACCACTCTGAGGACTGAGTTACCAACACACAAAACTTTGAGAGACACACTCAAACTATAGACAAACTGTAGGCAGACTTGGAGCAGGGTGTTTAATACAATCATCCAGTGGGTAATACAGACAAACAGCTGGCTTACTTGACTGTGTATGTCTAGTATAAGCACAGCCTCAGTTCTGAACTTAATGGCTGCCAAAAGATGCTCCACAAGTACAGCACTAGAACCCTGGAGCAGAAGAATACATGACTGTACCAGGAGATAGCTCCCTGGTGGTTCAGGAATCCATCCTCCTCCTTTATCTGGAGGGGCTGGTGCACTTACAAAATTATTATCCATTAGCAACCTCAGATGTTTTAGACTGAGGCATACAACAGAACTTGCATTATTTTAGATAAGAATACTGCTTATGTGACAATGTCCTCCAAATTTAATCCCTTAATCTTTTTATTACTACTTCTATTTGAAAGTTCTGACTAGTCTTTCTAGTCTAGGTGTACATTATAGGATATTGTGTACAACCTCTGGCCACAGCCCACTAGTTCGAAGTACAGTACCCTAGTCCCGAATACGATGAATTTTTCTGTCCCCAGATGTTGCCAGGAGTCTCTGGGAACAAGAATTACTGAAGTGAGAATCGGCGATCAGTGCTCTATCCTTTACAAAGACCAAATTTTCTTTATTGTGTGTAAGACCTAGCAACTGCTGCTCAGTTACTGTTATTGTAATTTGTTATGAAGATTATTGACACCTTTCATCTCTGAAGGATTTGTAATTGACTGTTTCCATCCACATACTCTGGAGAGGAAGGCAGAACAGCTTATTATTCATGGCAAGAGAATATACTTTTAGTGCTGAGACTGCCCCCTTCCTCCTTCCCTCTTTCCTATTGTGCTTGGACTCTTTTGGCCAAGACCAAAAGAGGTCTTGACATGGGGAATGTATTTAGGGTAAGTCAGGTATTTCATAAATGCAATCTGGCTGGATCTTCTTAGACGATGTAAAGAAAATAGATGTTTGGGCCACTGTCCACCCAGCACATACAGAGCAGGGCATGTCACACCTGGATCTGAACTCATCTAGTGTGAAAATTGCAGGCTTCAGCCCGTTTTGTACTGCTGTGGTCGCACCAAAAAGCACTAAGTGAAAACCAAAACCAAATGGTGTTTTTCGAGAGAGGAAATGCATTTCTCTCTTACAGTCCTCCCCATCCCTCTTACCTGCTTCAGGATGTCAGCAGCTGTTTCGTGTGAACAGTCAAATATCACATAGAACTCCTTGCCCTTCTTCATCTCCTTGAGCAGAGGCTTGGCATCTTTATTCCCTGAGGGCAGCTGGCGGATTTTGATTTTAATGTTATATCTGGAGGGAGCTTTGATGAGTTCTTGCAGGCGAATTAGACCTGCAAAATGACATCAAATCATGCACCAGAGATGGATCTGTGTTGTTTATTGCCATTTACATTCAAACACAGAGCATTCCCAAAATGTATAAAGTGGCTGCCTGCCTAAAGTTTACACAATTGACTTCCCATTTGTCATTCCCCCTTCTCTGGTAGATTGCACTGCTACTTTCCCTTTGTGGGTACATGTGGCTTGCAAGCACAATTTTCTCAAGTGCATTTGAACTTATTTAGAGTGCAATAATCCTCTCCACCTTTCAACACTATAACTATTTAGCATATGAAGTCTATGACTATGAAACTGTGTGTATGTATGTGTGTGTGTGTGTGTGTGTGTGTTTTGAGACAGGGTCTTCCTGTAGCCCCAGCTGGACTACCACTCTCTATGTAGACTATTCTCCTAGGCTGGCCTAGATCTCACAGGAATCGTGCCTACCTCTGCCTCTCAAATCCTGGGATTAAAAGAGTATGACACCACACCCAGCTGACTGTAAAACTTTCATAAATAAAAGGTTGCTTGAAGTTTCCAGAAGTGCTCAATGAAATAGTATCTATCTTTAAAAATACATCTGTTTAATGGGGCTCAGTGGTTAAGAACATTGGTTGCTCTTGCAGAGGACCTGGGGTCAGTTCCCAGCATCCCAATGGGAGCTAACAACCAACTGTCTGTAACTCCAGTTCCAGGGGATCTGATGCCTTCTTCTGACCTCTGTGGGCATTGTACCACACTGGTACAATTACACACATTTTATTTATTATTTATTTATTATTTTATTTATTATTTTATGTGTATGAGTGTTTTGCCTGCATGTATGTAAGTGCACCCATATCGTGCAATGCTGCAGAGGTCAGAAGAGGGCGTTGGATTCCCCTGGAACTGGAGTTAAGAATGGTTCATAGCTGCCATGTGGGTGCTGGCAATTGAACCTGGGTCCTCTGCAAGAGTAGTCAGTGCTCTTAACCGCTGAGCCATCTCTCCAGCCCTTTAAAATATTGTTTAAAAAATTTAAACTTTTGAATAAGTTGTGTGTGTGTGTGTGTGTGTGTGTGTGTGTGTGTATGCACTATGCACATGTATGTCTTTGAAGGCCAGGAGAGGGTGTCGGATCCCATGGAACTGGAGTTATAGGCAGATGTGAGCCACCTTATATGTGTGATGGGAACTGAGCTCCAATCCTCTGCAAGACCAGCAAGTACTTTGAACTGCTGAGTCCTCTAAACTGTTACCTTAAAAAGCCAAAAGAATACCAGGATTTCTGGAGGTTGTTAACTTGTAACCTTATCATTAAACATTTATTCATAACATATCATTTAGCTAATTAGCTGGACTGCTCTGTATAATTTTTCAGTGCTAGCCCAATAAAGTATTTGTAAATGATTCATTATATTTCTTGCTAATACATATTGAATTGGTAAATTCTTACTTGATTAACATGTATCACAGAAAATTTGGAGATTAGATAGTGAAAGCAGAAATGTTATTTGGAAGTTGACTGTTGGGAGTTGTAGTGAAATGTGTACAGCTGCCTAAATTGGCAGAGTGTTTGCTTTACCACAGGTCTGTATCTACTGAGCTGCTCCTTTCTTTAAGAGAAGTTCATTACTAGGCAAGGCGTATAGCCATGGAAAGGCTCTATCTTACATCCCTGATGTTGACTGGTGTTTGCTACACTGCATGATGCTGTTTCTGTCTCTCTCAAGGACTCCTATCACATTGGAAAATTGACTTTTTAAAAAAGTATGCAGTTCAGTGCCTTTCAGATGTGTTAGCTACAAGTAATCAGCAGGGAATATTAAACTTTATGAGTGTTCAGATGGAAATACGGGAGGCAGGGTGCAGGGTACCACACAGATTCCAACCCCTTCCAGAGGAGATGCATTTGTTTCTTTCTCTTTCATTTATTTTGTAGTTTTGTTTTTTTTTTCTCCCAGTAGTCACATTTGTTGCAGCTTATATTGCAAAGGCTTCTCAGACACCAGGGATAGGTGTGATTCTTAAGTGCAGCCAGCTTATAACCACACTCCTTTTCAGAGTTAAATGGACAGGGCAGTGGAGATGAAGGAGATTATTGGAGAACCAGCACCAGGAGTTAGTGTACATTTTCCCTTTTCATAAAAATGGAAGTTATTAGAACAGTAGTCTTCCTGGACTCTTGCTCCTTTTTAAATCAGTCAAGTACCAGAAATGAACCACTTGTTTCCTTACTTTCAGAGTCTTTTGTTCTGAACCACTAAAGAGCATTAAAAGTGTGTGTCGGGGGGAAGAGTTGGGCGCATGAATTTACACATTTGTTATTTGTTTTATTGGTTAAACCTCATAATAGTGCTCCGAAGCAAGTGTTATCATCTTTATTATTTTAGATACAGAAACCAAGGCCCAGAGCAATTAAGTAACTTATTCAGGGTTACAAAGATAGTTAGCAGAAGCCACAGATTAAAATTATTTGTGAGTGCAATACTCTGTCTTTCCACTTCACTGTCCTCCCTTATAAATGCCGGTTATTGGTGCTTAGGGAGCAGATAAGCTTAAAGGGTCAGATGAGATGGAAAAAAAGATAGAATCAGGAACTGATTTTCTTCTCTTCTCTTACCCAGGCTTTGTGCTCTGCAGTCACATAATTTTTTTCTTTGTTGTCTTTTTTTTTTTTTTTTTTTTTAACTTGAGCGTGACCACTGAGGAGAGCTCAGTGTGGCCTTTAAATAAAATGAGGAAAACATTTTAAAAGTCCATTTCCTATGCTGCAAGGAGCCGCTCCTTTGTTCTTTGCTGAACTGAATGTCAGCCTTGAAGTGCATCTTCCCAGCCAGGACTCTGATGGCATTTAAAGCAGGCAAACTCGCTCTCACTTCATTCATTCACTTTCAGAGGAAAATGTTTCCTGGGTGCTTATTAGCTCCCAAGCCTCGTGCTACACACTGCAAGACCAGCGCACTCTGTTTCAAGGAAGTTTTCGTACTACAGCGTCTCATGAACTGGACTGGGGTAGAGCCCAGGCTGCTGCAGACTGGAGTAATTCTCTAAAGGTCAGGTACCTGATCATGGTGGGTTCCAAGCTTAAAGCCAACTCTATCCACCTGTTTCCCAAGTAGAGCTCTTTCTACTGGATCAGGGGCCCTGCCTGCCTTTTGTATTTCAGATCAACTAACTGGATGAAAAGTATAACTAACTGTAAGCAAACAAACAGACAGAGCATACACAGAGAGAGCAAACTGAGAACCAGCTTAACACCTTTGACTTGGCATGCAGTGCTCTACCTTGGCAAATTTTTGATCAATTCTAATTGGGAAAAATTTCTCTTTATGACAAAGATATCACTATGCTCTTTTTAAAATTAATTTTATTTTCTGTGTATAAGTGTACTGCCTGCACGTGTGTGACCATAAGTGCACCAGGGTCCTGCAATGCCCTTGGAACTGGAGTTAAGAACGACTGTTAACCACTATGTGGGTGCTGGGAATTGAACCCAGGTCCTCTGCAAAAGCAGTCAGTGCTCTTAACTGCCGATCCAGGTCTCTAGTCCCCATCACTAAGCTCTTACAAAAGAAAAACAAGAAAACTCATTTTGCCAGTCTATAGGTGAATTTGTCTTGGGGAAAGGGAAGAACAGCAGACATAAAGATTACAGACCCAAGGGCTAAAAGAACAAAGACCAAGGAGAATAATTTTACATTTCTCTTCCTAGGACAGTTGTTTGCTTAGCAAAGCCTTTCTGCCTTCATTAGCAAATGATGCAGCATTTACAATTTAAAAGGCTTTTTTTTTTTTTTCAGCTCACAGCAGAGAAAATTTACTGAAAGCCCTCTTTCCTATTCGCATTGAGCAGCAATCCATCAATCTTTTAACATTTCATTGTAATGACTAGTTAAAAAATGATTTGCTAGCTAAACAAGTAGTGACTTTAGGGAAAGGAAATTGATTTAGGTGCTGCTCCTTGCTTTGCAGTTACCCTCTTTTCGGTGCCCCTCTTGATCAAGTGACCCAGCCTTGCCTGGACCCTAGTTGCAAGGAACAGCCATGGTGCATGCTGAACTAGTAATAGAATTGTTTTCTAACCCACTGAGGTGGAGGCACTTTCAAATGAAATGTCGATCAGGGGCAAACCATAGAAATCCAAGTAAGTGATATTATATAAAACTCTGATCTCATCTTGACTCTTCAAAAATGTCAATGTTACCAGTGACAGGGAAGTTTCTGGACCAAAGGTCACTGAAGAGATTGCACCATGAAATAAATGCAGTGGATGGTGGTGTGGCCATTAGAGAAAAGGGAAGGATTCATGTACATATTTGCCTGGCAGTATTGTAGCATTGGTAAGCTTCTGACATTTGATGCACCCTAGTGTGGCTATAACAGGAGAAAGGGCTTTGTTTTAGAATATGCATGTGAATGTAGTAATGGGCAAAAAGGTAAGAATATCTATAGTGTACTTTCAAGTGGTTCAGTGAGGGAGGGAAGGAGGGAAAGGGAGAGGGAGGAGTAAGAGGGAGGGAGGGGGAAAGAGGAGGGAGGGGAGAGGAGGGGAGGGGAGGGGAGGAAAGAGGAGAGGAAAGGAGAGGGGCTCCACCTTGAGGATGGATATGGAGAAAGTATCTCACAGACTGGTTATGGACCACTAAATTGAAGGAGAAGGAGATTTAGGAAGGCTTCTCCCTAAAAAGAAAGAATAGGACTTCTTTTCTAAGAGGACCACGCTGCTTCTAGGAACCTTGCACATGCTAAAGCAAGAGATCTGCCCCAGAGCAAAATTCTCAGTCATTCATTTTCTTTTTTTTTAAGAAAGTGTATAGAGTATAGAATATTATATAGCCCAGGATGAATTGGACCTTTTGCCCTCTTGCCTCAGCCTCTCAAATGAGGCTTGTAAGAGTGTACCACCATGCTCACTGTGTAGTTATTTTTTAAATATTTTTTATTTATTATTTTTATTTTATGTGTATGAGTGTTATGCCTGCATGTAAGTAAGTGCACCCGTATGGTGCAATGCCCTCAGAGGACAGAA